CTTTTTTTTTTCTTTTTAACAGTTTACATTGAGCTCGCTTATACCCCGATTTATCATAGTGAGAACATTTGAACACATTCTTTGTCTGAGATTTTCCTTGTGATATGTCATAACTTTCACAACCCTTATTATTTCTGCTATTGTTTCTACTATGTTTCTCTGAAACTAACACTTGACTCTGCATCATTATCTCTCGCTTATTTATTTTGTTTTCTTCATTTAGCACTCTCTTTCACCATCTTCAAGGTAATAATGCCATTTGAGCGGAATTGCTAAGAGAAACAACAAGAGTCTCCCAACTATCCGACAAGGAGCTGATCGAATACAATGCAAGAATCTCATTTTCCAACTTCATATCTAATGCTCCAAATTGATCCAATATCTCCTGAAAAGCATTCAAGTGATAAAAAATTGCAGTTCCATCAGTGTACCTGAGATACATAATTTTTTTGGAAAAGAAAAGGACTTGTTTTGTGCATTTTTCTTTTTTGTACAATTCTCTTAGAGTTTCCCAAACTTTGTTGACATTTATCTCATTAACACCATGTTGATAAACACTATTGTCTATTTATTGTCGAATCTTGCCAATGACATTTCTATTCGACTTAGCCCTTATCAGACATATTTTTATTGGTTTGCTCTTATCACTCAAAGGTATACCTTCTAGGTCCAAACAACAAAGTAAATCCTTCCTGCATGATTTCCAAATCGAGTAATTGATTGCATAAATTTAATCATTGTATTGTTGTTAGAAATGGACTCTTCCATTTGGCCAGCACAAGAATCTCTAGAGCAACCTGTCTCTAATACTACTTTTTTGGAAAAAATAAGCTAAAAAATTCACAACACTACAAGCACACCTACTAAAATTTGATGAAACAAAATAATAAAATAAAGCAACACCAAATTTTTAACTAGAAACCCCTAAAATAGAGTAAAAACTATATGACTCGTAGACCACTTAAATACTGCCACTAATCAACTTAATCTTTACACAAAGTTCTTCTGTAATTTATAAATTGTGAGCTCACAAAATTCTGACACCTCCCTATGACTGAATTATTTTATAGTTTTGTTTTGAGAGTGCTTTAAAGGATTAAATTTTCATAAGACAGATTGAATTGTAGATAAGACGCTACTTAGAGATTTCACTCTCATTTTGTTAGGATTTTTTCATCTAAGATTTGAGATTTCTCATAGATGGAAGCTCCTATGGTTAATTAGGTCTCTCGATAATAGCAAAGCACCTTCGATTAAGGTTTATCATTAAGAATTGAATATTCAACTTAATATAACAACAAACTTAGGATTTAAATTGAAAACATTATTGCTTGAAGTTTAAAGCGGATGGTGGGAAAATGAAGATGAAGCCCAATCAATATCCCATGATTCTGTCATCCCAGGTCATCATGGCCTCTGATCTCTTTAGTCAGAGGAGGTAGTAACCCAACATGATAAAAGGATTCTTGTCAACAATCATGAGTTGCGTTGTCTAAGAGATCCTTATAAATATGAGGTGGATGCTTGTCTAAGGGGGCAAAATTAAGTCGACCTTAGCTAATGGAATACTTTGTATCTATCAATTGTACCTTTATGGTTCACAACTGAAAGGATAAAAAGCTATTGAGGAATATATGGGTTGCGGGCAACCATCCCGTCAGAGAGTTTGGTCATAACCGTTATTTTGTGGAGTCATTTGGCGTCAAAATCACATAGAAAAATGACTCGGGCCACGTCCTTACTAGTGTGTGATTGTTTTGATTGTGAATATAAGAATACTTTTGATATAACATAAACTCTTTGTGAGTTGAAGTCGGTCAGAAATTTATCACCCTTAACAAATTATTGCGGATAGTTGATAAAATTTACTTTGTCTTAAGTGATTTAATTTAAAATCGAGTATTTTAGTTTTGCTTTAAAAATATTGATTTAAAAGATTGGACTTTCCATTTAAAATTTTATATCAACTCGGCCATCATTGCGGTGGGTTTATTTTTGAACCATGTGGACTTTGTCCCGCTTACACAAGATTATGTTCAATAATTGATATAATTGAATTTAAAATAGACTCTAAAGTATAATTTTAAAATAGACAAATTCAGTTGAAGTATTTTTATTAACTTGACCATCAACCGAGATTTGGTTGCTTGATTTGCTATCGTTAAACATTGTTAACTCGGTTTTGTTTAAAGATGATTATATATATATAGTCAAAAAGAATGGTCGAAGGGTATTATACTAGTCTTGACCATCCCTCATCCCTCATGCGTCAAAGAATTCGAGTATTATACCCTACACTCGAAGGGAATCGAACCCCAGACCAAATGTGACTTACAACTTACAAGCAAATACCTCGACCAACTGATCTGAGTATGCAGTGTGTGTGTTATTTGAACTTATTTAAATACATTTAAAACTTAATTTTGAAAATATACCCCTTCGATTGAAATATTATATCAACTCGGTCATCACCGGGGAATTAAACATTTTAAACTTTTTATATTTGAAGAGACATTTAGTTTTGTTAGTTGTAGACTTTTTAAGGTATGTGTCATATCGACTCTTATTCTTAGATGGAGGATCAATATTTTAAGATTTGGACGTTTATTCCAAAGTTGTTAGACTAGTCAATTCCAGTCCTTGTGAGGAGAATCAAGCTAGTTTAGTGGACTTACAACACTATCCTGTAGATAAGATGGTAATCCTCCTCTTCTTACATCTTTGATTTTTATAATATATAATGTATATTATATTTGAAAAATAGCAGAATTCTTTTTGTGGCTAACATGAGAATAAAAGTTCTATTTGGGACGGCTTGTGAAAAACAGGGATGATTTTTCTTATTTTACTGCGGCTGAACTGGCTGATAGGAAAGGTGCAATGATCTGCGTGAATAAAAGAAACAGGGAAGCAGCAAATGAGTCATGCAATTCGAATAAGGAATTTCGAGAATCTCTGTATATCGCGTTCCCGTCGCCTTCTTCGCCGCGAAGTTTCGGATGTTTCTGTAGGTTGCATGCACACAGAAAATAAAAGGGAAAACGACCATATGGAATGGAATATCACCTCGTTTCGAAGGCCTATGTTGCAATTCCATCATCTAATGTCTCGGCTGCATCGTGAAAGGCGAAGGGAAAGGAGACTGATCTGATACCTTCGTATGCCAAACTCCCGTCGTATCTTCCAAAGGTCTCTGGATGCTTCAATACCGTCGTTGCTTCCCTCTGTAGTAGGGCAGGCGAGGAACGAGTTGAAGATGGGAGTTTTGGGTCTCTGTACACCGACGATGTTGTTGTTGTTTTCCTGGCCAGCACCGATCCCGGCTGTATCGTGAGGGCTGTCAGGTAGGAGAGGGTTTTTTCCGGTAAGAGAGAGGTAGTTTCGGGCTTCTGTATGTCGCAATTCCGTCGTGCCTTTCTAAGTAGCTCCAATCGCAACAGTAGCGGCGAGGGTTTCGGGGACAAGCGAAGAGGCACTGGAGTCGTGTGAACCGAGAGAGGAACCGGGAGGAGCCGAAAGGCTTGTTCTCCGCGCACGATCTGAAGAGACCCGAAGGGGAATGACTCGAATGGAATGGACCTTGTATTTCGTCCGAGAGTTCTTCAGTGAATAAGAGTGGCGGAGGTAGTGTTTAGTTTTCGATTTTGAAATGAGCCTGGGAGACACAAGCGGGGGCAGATATGACATGCGGATGTTACTTATTTTTAATTAAATTTTATTAATAATATTAATAATTTAGTTTAATTTTAGATGATTTTGTTTCAACATCAACATCAACATCAATCATCATCAAATAGGTGGCAAACATTAACTCCATCAAACACAAAAAGATTTGACAATCTCACCCGGTTTAAGAAAAATGAAATTTTCTTACTTGTGATTCCTGTCACGCTGCTGCCCTGAAATCCTGTGAGTCGCCAGAGGAATCCTACCACCAAATGTCGTAAAGTCGCTGATCTTCCAATGAGAGAGAAGAAATGTGGATGGGGTTGCAGCCGTTCGTCCTTCTGGGCGAAAAAAACGGAAACCTTTAAAAAAAAAAAAAAAAACAATAGGGAAACTGAATTTTGGCTCTCCAAAACTGCCAAAGTTTTTTGACTTCACCTGGGTGGGACCCGCAGCACAATATCCAAACATTTGTTACCTATGCAACAATCAAACAACTAATATCATTTCACAAGTCTTTATTCATTTTGGACTAATTTTTCTTTAGGTGTATAAAAATCATTATTATCATTAAGATCTTTATCCTAACTATGGAGTCAACTTTATTTATCTTTATTTTTTCATCTATTTTATTGTGCTGCTTGCAGAGTTAAATTTGTTCTGTGAAAATCTTTTTGTAAAACTTCTTTGCACTTAAACTTTGGTCTACCCCTTTTTCTTTCTAGTTATGCCCTATTAATTATCTATGCCTAAACCACGTAAGGGCCATGTACTTATAAGTTAAAAATCAACTTTAAAAAGAAAATGATTTTTTAATTTTCACTATTTTTAAGTGTGAAAATGAAACCATTGTTGTTGGAGTTTTAAGGTAGTTTATGGATTTAAAGCAAACGTTGATTCTTATAATATCTAACCACATAAGGATAAAATCATTTTCTTTATTTTATTTAAATTTGTTTTTGAACTTTTATCAACCAATTAGCTTCCGAGTCTATTTTAATGTGCCAAAAAAAGGTTTATTTATTAGATTTGAAATGCCTAAGTGAAAAATCATCAGCAATGATTGTTAAGAGTACTTAATGACAATTGGTATTTTTCTTTTTAAATTCAATTCAGAGAATCTTCGGTCACTATTTTCTTAGTATTCTTTCTTCATTATAACATTCTCTCAAGGTTTAAATAGTTTGCTTGCAAACTTGATAAGCTTATTGTGGTACTTAATTTTTGTTGTAAGTATAAAAAAATAATGGTTGTTTCCATAAGCCAAGTATCATATCCTTGTTTATTTTTCACTTATACCTGAAACTCTCTATACAATCTTTTTGAACGGACAGGATGTGAAGGCAGAGGGGAATTAGCCTGTCCTACTTGCAATGCTGGGCAAGAGCCAGGGCATTACAAACCAAATCAGATGAGCCAATGCTCTGCTTGCCATGGGAGGGGTTTGATCGCTCATCAAGATGGTTCTGATTCAATGTAATCCTCCATATACTTCATTATCCTGCCTCTATGGTAATAACTTTTATTAGGTGTCATAACACCATTGAGGAATTAACAAAATTTTACAGATGCAAGAAATGCAACGGCACAGGAAAGCTACCCTGTGTGGCATGTGGCTCGCGTGGCCTTGTAAAATGCCAGACATGCAGTGGGCATGGTTCCCTCCTCACACATAATACTGCTCATGTTCAATGGTAAGTATAATCGCTTACAATGCTTTGATCATCTTTAGCTTGTGGAGAATGTAAATGCAAATGACCGCATTTTATCAACTCTCTTTCTTCCCCTGTAATATAGCTACTTATTTCTTGTTGGATATAACTTCTATTGTAATTTCTCCTTTTTTCCTTCTTTTTTCTCGGCGTCCTTGAAAAGTTCTTTAAATACTCTTGAGCATCTCTATTTTACTAAAAAGTTTGACGGTGAAGTATCCTCCCTTCTCTTCAAACTTGAAAGTGAACCAAAGTCGGTAGATCTAACTACTATAATCTTCCTTATCTTTCTATGCTATTTCCTCTCTCTCTCCCTCCTTGTTGGATAACTACAATCCATTCTTTCCCCTTTCCCTGTCTCAAACCTTAAAGGCCATTGTAAAGTTTCTTAGTAGGATTTGCGCTCAATTTCTATGTATTTACTGATCTAACACCCATACTTCAATTTTTTCATACATATGACTTTACCTATGCATGAAAATGTATATTTCACTTTTTAAAAGTTAACATAGTGATATTTTTGATGTGATATGAAATACTTGGGTTGTATAATTGTGAAAAGCAAAGTTTAGATGTTAGATATGTAAATTCATTGGAATTAGGTGGTATTTATGTAAATGTCTCTTTTTTAGGTTGTATGTAAATGTCCCTCTTTTAATGGATGCCCATATATGTGTTTAATGTGGAAATTGAATTTAGGAGGACACTTTCAACACGCAAAGTAGCTGCTTCAAGTGGAGCAGCTTCAGTTCCTGATGAAGTGTTCCACAATGCAAGGGGCGTCCAGCTTTACAACACACAAGCATACCAGTGTGCGCCTGCCTTCTTTGCAGATTCATACCTCCTCAACAGGTTCTCATCAGAGGTCATGGCTGAGCGATCTCCCATTCCTCCCTCTGCGAGACTTATCTGTGAGAGGCATCTCATTTCTGTGGTGCCCGTCACTCGTGTCACGATGGCTTATCTTAAACGTTCCTTCTCTTTCTACATCGTCGGATATGCCCGGGACATTTATATAAGGGATTATCCTTCAGAATTCTGCTGGGGCCTCTGCTGCTGTTTTGAATGGTTGAAAAGGTAATCTCTCTCTCTTTCAATAATTTTCCAAGGAAATTGTTGATGATTTGTGTGTTTGTGTGTGTATACATATACATATATCTTTATGGATTATTGTGTGTAAACTAATAGAGGAATATTCATTGCCAGCAAGATTGTTGTTGTGAATGAATAGTTGGCTTCGAGTGTTTCAGTTCTGGAACTGCTTTTCAATGTGAAAGAAAGGCGCTCCATGGTCATTATTGTAAGTTATACATAAAGCACTCCTTAGATTATATTTGTAAGTACTATTTATATTTTTTTATTAAAATTGTAAGTGGCTTATCCTGCAACAAACCTAGTAAACTCATCTATGCTAGCTCTCCTCCACTTTCAAGGAGCTTTGGATTAGAATAATGCATGTTTATTTTTAACTAACGTTGGCATCTTAAGCAATATAAGGAATAACTTCCAAAACAAACTCATGATTTTTTTGTAAGGTTTGAGTTAAGGTTACATGAGGAGTCAAGATCATACAATGTCACAGTTTGAGTGGGCGGTAAGATCCCATAAATAATCAAAATGACTTTTTTTACCATTTCATTAGTAAATATATGATTTCTTCACGGGGCAAAGACTCACAAAACTTTTTCTCCAATAACATAAATGAAGGCTTGCTTAGACCACTTGAAAGACTTATTTCTCGCTTATCATACATAGAGATTAGTGCTTTATAATATTGATCCAATAGTTAATCCAACATAAAGTTGACTGAGCCTTATGTCTTGGGATATATTTGTTTTTTATTTGGAAACATAATGACTATAATAAAATAAAATAAAATAAATTCTAAAATTAAAGTGTGTATAATTCACGAACAAATCAAAATCGAACACTTGCAAATGCATTGTATAATTAAAGTGTGTATAATTAAAGTGTGACAACAAAATTATAGGGGTCTGGTTCCTCATTTTTATCTTTTATTTTTTAGCTTTCTTCTATGATATAAGAACTTTGCCTAATTTTCATATATAATAATTGGAGACGGGTCAACATCTTATGCCTTTTTAACATTTTTATCTATTTATATAATAGCAAGGGATTGACCAATCTTTCCATTATTCCCCTCACTTCCTTTTCCATCTCCTTTATTTTTCTGTCCCGTAAAAACCTAAATCCTGTATTGTTTTTTTTCTTTCCCTCCAATATCTTCTCTATATATCAAACTTAGATTACTCAGAGTGTCTGCTCGAATTTCTTGCGCTTGAAGTTCCTAGACCCCGAACCTCTTTCATTCTCATGTACTCATCCTATAAAGTATTGCGCTAAAACTAAAATAAAATATATTTTCACAAGGATTATAAATAAAAAATAAATATTTTTCTTACACAAGCTCTTTGTGCTCTTTGTCACTTGACATCAACCTACTGGTGGTCCAATTTTCTACTATATAACTTTACACTAGTCGGTTCTCTTCAAATCACTTATTTCTATGAACATACTCATAAAATTAGTAAATAATGCTTATAAAATTTTCTAACATATATTGCTTATGACTTACCAATCTCTTCTTATATTGGTACGGGCAATTGGGCCTCTAGTACATAGAGAGTTGCTTATATCGCCACTATAAGATGCCAAATGTATTTATTTATTATTATTATTATAAACATAATCATGAGAGACACATGCCCTACATGGCTCACCTCATATTTAATCTCCAATTCAAATAGACATATATTAAGATCCGCAAATGTCTATGAAAATGTAGTGTAAACGAACAAACAATACCTCTTATCTTAAATTTTTTTCCTAATATATTTGTTTTTCTGTATTAGCCACGAATTTTTTTGTGGTATAAAGCATATAAATGGAAATCTTTTTAACTAGATCAATATTTATTGTATGAGTGCAGAAAATTTAATTAATATCTCAAAATTTAAAACACTTATTTGCATTTTTATTGATATTTTCTTTCAGGATAAATATAAAGCAGCATATTTATTTTTATTACTCCTATGATTTTGTGGGTTGGTTATATGTATAGATTAAACTTGTAAAAAAAATTTTGTTAGGACTACTTAAATAAAATAAAATAAAAGTAGTGCATACAAACTTACTCATCTTCCTCACACTCAGTAAAAGTGCATGAAGTGGGTGTCCTAACTCCATCATGATCAATAAGAGTGGATGAACTAACGTCATATAGTGATTATGGTTGATGGTGATAGCTAGGCTCTTCATAACTTATGTTGCTGAAAAAGGAAAAATAGTGTGGTTTCAATGGGAGCTAGGAATAATAGGATGATGTATGTGCAAGTAAAGTGGTACGAGGCGGTTTCATCGGTAAGCAAGTCATGGTAATGAGAGCAACAATAATGTTGGTATGAAATCTTGGAGGGTAAACAATCTTCTTTTTTCTCTTGATAATCGACATGATTGATTGATTGGCGATGGATGTTGTCACCATCACTTGATGCTAAAGGAAATTAAATGATTGAATTAGCCAAAAAAATATTTAAATTATTAAATATAAAAGTGTTAATGTATAATTACCGTATACATAAGAACTAAAAAAAGTATATTCTAACTATAATGCACATGCCATATAATTTTTTCAGCTAAATCATTAGAAGTTAAATTTAAAATTTTCTCATGTTCATCACCACTTGTTGTAAGTCTATCACCAACTTAATTTCACTAATTGAAAGTAAAAAAATCTCACATCTCCTCATCCCAATGAACATAATCAATATATATTTGTTGCTGTGTCTGTGTCTGTGTGTGTATTTATGTATATATATAGATGTAGATTGACACTCACACAAACTTCAATAAATTCACGATGAATTTTAATTTAATTTTGATAATTAAAATTTTAAGTTAAATTTCATTAATACTGAGCTTAATATTTTATTTGAATTTATAACTATATCAATTTTAAGTTTTAATTCAAGTCCATTTAAATTACTCATCTATTTATTTAAAAAAATAAAAATTTAAGTCTATTTAATTTATTTATTAAAATTATATTAATTTTGAGTGGAATTTTATTTTAAATTAAGCCCAAGCCCAAGTTAACCAAAAAAGGTACATTCAAGCCCACTTAAAGCCGAATCACCTAGATCCTCTAGGAAGGAAACCTAGTTCTACATAGGGAAAGTGGATGAAAAAAATTTACCAAAATAGAGGTTTACAAGCCCCGTGAAGTTTATTCCCCAAACATAAAAATCTATACATCCACAATATAATTTAAGAACATCCCATCTCTTATAGAAATATTTTGTCCCTCTGACACCTATCACAGATCTTAATATAATCATTAACATATTTAAATAAGGTAGGCCAATAAAATTTATATTGTACCATCTTAGCAACAATTCTAAGTCATCCAAAAAACCATGCAAATTCAAAATCATGACAGACTTTAATAATTTCTTCTAGTGGAACAAATCTCCTAACAATCTAATCCTTATCCTTTCAAAATAATATAATTTATCCTAAAAATAAAATATGAAAAAATAAACTTTTTTTTATGGTTATCTAGCATGTCCAAAGATATAACACTACTGAAAATGTAGTTCGGTATGTTAGCATAACAAAAAATATTTTGTTTAAAATGGTGAGCAATTATTAATCAAAAAATTTCCCATGGATGTCATAAAGCAGGTTAGAATAATATTTTCTATATAATCAAGACAAGTGGCATGTTATGTGGTTTTCAATTTCATTCCTATCTACTATCTCTAATCAAATTTCTATAACAAAAGTGGATGACATATCAATTCATGATTGACATCCTTCTTAGTTATAAGGTATTTAATTATACAGTGATCGATATGGATTTTAACTTTAGTGTCTATTATGTAAGACTTAAATTTATCAAATAAAAAAACTAATACAAGCAAATTTTTATCAGTTGTGATATAATTCACTTGTGATTCATTTGAAGTCATACTCATATAGTAAATCACATGAAAAATCTTATCTCTATATTGTCCTAGCATTGCTCCTACAACATACATTAGCATCACACATTAATTGAAATGACTTTCTCACTTTGGTGCTATAATAACTGGTGCAATGGGCACTGCTTGGCTAGCACCTAGGCACTGCTTCTATGCTTAGATTGAAATTCCATCATTTACCTAAATCCAACAAAATATAATAAAGTACCTTTCAAAAGAGTAAAAATAACATAAAATTAAACTAAAATACAACATAAAGTCACAGTTCAACTATACATCACAAGCTTATGTCGTTGCATGCTTTTAAGAGATTAGGATTAGGAGAAGTTCAAGCTACCACTGCAATCCTTCAATGTGCATTTCAAACTTTTACTTACCCTTGGTGGATTATAGAAGATGTCTTAATTAAAGTTGATAAGTTCATTAACCTAACAGCTTTTATTGTGTTGAACATGGACGAAGATGTTGAGATCCCAATCATACTTGATAGACAAGTTCTTGCCACTGAAAGAGAAAATATTGATTTCCAAAAAAGAGAGTTAACTATGAGAGTTTTGGATCAAGATAGAACCTTTATGATTTATAATATGATTCTACCCTGTACGTATCCTCTAAAAGTGTGTTGTAGAATTGAGATTGAAAATTACAAAAAATTATGAGTAAAGTTGTAGGGAAGAATGCATGTATTGAAGAAGATTTTAGATTGATATCAAAATTTATTGTCTTAGGAAATCCTCCAAGACAATTGGAACATTGGAAGATTTATCAAGGGCCACTGAAATTGCAATTTAATCCTGGAGAAAATTCTTATGAATGATTTGATTGTGTTATGTCGAAGACAAAAAATGAAGCATTACTTAGGAAGCAACCTAAGAATTATATAGTTTGATTTATGTGAATTGGCTTTAAGATTGATTTAGTATAATGAATTTGATTGTTTTTATTTTTTATTTTTGCTTTTGTTTGATGGTTTGATTGCATGAATGAAAAGATGTAATCATTATGCTCTACAACTATAAGTAACTCTCTGACGACTGTTTTCTAATTAAAATTAAATTATCTTATATATAAAACTTCCTAAACATTTAGATTAGAGTTGACTATAAATAAAATTAACCCACAAAATATATAAAATCTAATAATTAATCACATCAAATAGTTTAGTTCTTAGTTGGCACCCAATGAACATTAATAGTTTGAATTACATTAAGAGATAATTGAGAATTTTACCTAAGAAATAGATAGTATTCAAAATTATTAAAGAATATTTTAACCAGATATAATAATCCTTTATGAAAGTGAAAAAAAAGAGAAATAAAAGTCAAAAGAAAAAGAACAATTGTGAAAGCTAAGTAAAAAAGAAAATTATTTTAGGAGCTTTCGAAGAGAAGCTTTAGATTAAGCTTGAATTATAAAATTGGTACCAACCCACTTTCTAAAAGTTAAAAAATAAATAACATACTTTAAATTTAGAGTACCGATTTTCAAGAGATAATAGTTGAATCATCATTATTTAATTGATTAGTCAAATTGAATTATATATTTAAGAAATAATCTTATTCAATCAACCAAATAAGTGTTTATGTAAAATTACATAGAAAGAGTGTTAAAACAAGTTATTTGGGGACATTAGGTATTTTTACAAAAATCAATCTCAGAGGTTTATGCATTATGAATATTTTATTCGCCTCTTTATTAAAACTATGAGATCATATACTTAAAACTACCATTAATTTTCAAAGATTCTAGCTTTAGAATTTAAATTACTTGAGGGCAAGTAATATTTAAGTTTGAAGATATTTGATGTGTATTAATTCTTCATTAAATTTTTATATTATTTATATCATTGCTATGATTTTTCATGTATTTGATGTAGTATACATGTTGCATGGGTGATTAGACAACTTGGGGAGCAAAGAAAATGAAAATGACTCAAAATAAGTTGAACTTGCACCCAAGTGTCAGCCTTTGAAGCCTAGACACCCAGAACCAGAGGACTAGGCGCATGTCCTGGGTGCCCACACGGTAGTTTTGGGTGCTCAGTCGCCCCAAACTAGGGCAATAGGTGTCCAAGTGCTTGTATGTGCGAGATTATAATTTGGATGTCTCAATTTGCGTCATTTCACATTTAATGAGTTAAATTGGCTTACTACAAAGTAGATAAGGGCTTTTGGGAGGAGAAGAGACCAAAAGGGAATGGGAGAGGGCAAGACACAATAAAGGGTGTTTCTAAAGAATAATTGGTATTAATTGTAGCACTTCAAAGGAGGAATCCGTGGAAACTTTGTGAGTGTGAGCGAGTGTTCCCCGAATGGATCGAGTGTTGGTAAGTGAGATTGAGAGTATTTTGTACTCAAAGAGCAAGATCATTATAAATTCGTTGTAAACTTTTATAATTTAGCGGAGCATCATGATGAGATTATTTTAACTTGTGTTTTCTTTGGTTTTGAAACAAGTTTATCTTTGTGTTTCTTTCAAATGAGTGGTAGCTAAATTTCTGTATCTTGAGTTGGTATGCATGTCAAAATTATCATTGTAGTTTGATTGATTTATTAACTGTAGAATGTTGATATGTTAACATTTTGCTCATAAAATGACCACGTGAGATGTTAAAAAAGGTCAACATACACTTTTTTAGGAGAATTGAAATATTATCGCTAGAGTAGTGCAACCACTGAGGAAAACATGAAAACACAAGTTTTTACATGGTTAGGGAATGAACTATAATATGAAACACCAACATTTTTTAAGACCACCAGAAGAAACCAATCAATATTATTGTTCTCGACAACATTGGGGTCATATGGATATGACTAAATTGCTAGGGAAGATTCAAAGGATGTTTCTTCACATCATTAAAATCCTAAAACTTGGTTAATAAGTTTCTACTCTTTGTAAAAATTAGGTTAGTAACTTTCAATTGTTACCCAATTTAAAATTTTCAAATCATACATAGAATAAGTAGACTAGAATTTTTCTTAATTTGGAATTTGAACAAGTTCATTGTGGGATTGATTCACGAACTCAAATCCATATACTATTTGATTTGCATGTAAACGTATGTGGTTTTCAGTACTTGACAACATTTAAAGCATCATCTACCGCCATGAATTTTATGGCATGCAAGAGGTATAAATCTAAAGAATAAAGTTTAGGTGTTAGATATAGAAATACGTAAGATTTGTATGATATGTATGTAAAAATGCCCTTAAATGTTAGAGATGTAAATAAAATAATTTTTAGTGCATCGCAAAAGTAAATTAGGAAAATTAGAATTTTTGAAAAGGATTCATTTAATATCAAAAGGAGAAAAACACTCAATTTTGACAGATAAAAATAAAAATCCCCCCTTTCACGGGGAGACACTGGCTCGCTGGTATCGTCTCTTTTCACTTCACCCCTCACAGGTCTTGTGACCCATCCAACGTCCCCATTCATGGCCTCCGGTAGCCGCCGCGGTCTCCTCCCTTTGACCTCTTCATCCGACCCCGCCGAAAGTTCAGCTCAACACCCAAGCTCTTCCGTCAGCAAAGCCATCGCTCAGTTCTCCGTCGACGCCCGCCTCCACGCAGCCTTCGAACAGTCTGCCGGAGGTGGCGCCCGCTTTTTGGAATATTCACAATACATACTTACTCCTTCCTCCTCCTCCTCCTTACTTTCCTCTCCGGAACATCAACACATCGCGGCCTATCTCTCCAAAATTCAACGCGGTGGCCATATCCAACCCTTCGGCTGCACCCTCGCCGTCGACGAGCCGTCCTTCCGAATCATCGCTTTCTCCGCCAACGCTTCCGATCTTCTCGACCTCAATCACCAATCCGTCCCCTTACTCGAAGATGATGGTGATAAGAAGCTCGAGCTCCTTGAGATCGGCACCGACGCTCGCTCCTTATTCACTGCACCGGGCTCCGCGCTCCTTGAACGCGCTGCGAACGCTCGCGAGATCACTCTCTTGAATCCTCTCTTGGTCCACTCGAAGAAATCCGGTAAGCCCTTTTATGCTATTCTTCACCGTATAGACGTCGGCATCGTCATTGATCTAGAGCCGGCTAGAACGGAGGACCCCTCTCTCTCCGTCGCCGGTGTGGTTCAGTCCCAGAAGTTAGCCGTGCGGGCGATCTCTAGTCTCCAGGCTCTCCCAGGCGGCGACATCAAGCTGCTTTGCGAAACCGTTGTTCGGCACGTCCAGGAGCTAACCGGCTACGATCGGGTAATGGTGTACAAGTTCCACGCTGACGAGCATGGAGAGGTTGTAGCAGAGAGCAAGAGAGACGACCTGGAGCCCTACCTTGGCCTCCATTATCCCGCCACAGATATCCCACAAGCCTCTCGGTTTCTGTTCAAGCAGAATAGGGTTAGGATGATTGCCGATTGCAGTGCGAATCCCGTAAAGTTAATCCAAGATGAGCGCCTGCAGCAGCCGCTCTGTCTTGTAGGCTCGACGCTCAGAGCTCCCCATGGTTGTCATGCGCAGTACATGGCCAACATGGGATCGGTTGCTTCGCTTGTCATGGCTGTCACCATTAACAGTAGTGGTGAAGAAGAGGGTGGTTCCAGGAATTCAATGAAGTTATGGGGTCTTGTTGTTTGTCATCACACTTCTCAACGGTGCGTTCCATTCCCGCTTCGGTATGCCTGTGAGTTCTTGATGCAGGCTTTTGGTTTGCAATTGAATATGGAGCTACAGTTGGCCTCACAGATGTCGGAGAAGCACATATTGAAAACTCAAACCCTTTTGTGTGATATGTTACTTCGTGATTCTGCAGTTGGTATTGTAACCCAGAGCCCTAGCATAATGGATCTTGTCAAGTGTGATGGTGCTGCATTGTATCATCGGGAAAAATACTATCCTCTTGGTGTTACTCCGAATGAATCTCAGATCAAAGACATCATTGAATGGTTGCTCGTGTTTCATGGGGATTCTACTGGATTGAGCACTGATAGCTTGGCTGATGCTGGATATCCTGGTGCTGCTTCCCTTGGTGACATTGTTTGTGGAATGGTGGTTGCGGCCATCTCATCAAAAGACTACTTGTTCTGGTTCCGGTCACAGACGGCAAAGGAGGTCAAGTGGGGCGGCGCAAAGCATCACCCCGAGGACAAGGATGATGGCACCAATATGCATCCACGCTCATCATTCAAAGCTTTCTTGGAGGTAGTCAAAAACAGGAGCCTGCCATGGGAGAATGCAGAGATGGATGCAATATACTCATTGCAGCTAATACTAAGGGATTCTTTCAGGGATGCACCTGATAGGAAGAGTGATTCCAAGGCAATGATAAGTGGGCAGTTGAGTGACATGGATATACAAGGGATCAATGAGCTCAGCTCTGTTGCCAGGGAGATGGTGAGGTTGATAGAGACAGCAACGGTACCTATCTTTGCAGTTGATGCAGAAGGCCTAATAAATGGTTGGAATGCTAAGGTTGCTGAACTGATCGGGCTTTCTGTTGAGGAAGCCATGGGGAGATCACTGGTAAAAGATCTCGTCTTTGAGGATTCTGCTGCAAAAGTTGAGAAATTTCTTTTCCGTGCCTTAAGAGGTAGACTTCGTTTTGTCATTTCGTTTATTGGAATGTTGTTCTAATCAACTGTTAGATACATGCAGTTAAAGTGTTTCAATTTCAAGCCTTTCAATTTATATTGGCTGGTATTTGGCCTTGCTAATATATTGCCTCTGCTGTTTCATCTAAATTTAAGCAGGTGAAGAAGATAAAAATGTGGAGATAAAGTTACGAACATTTGGCTCACAGAAACCAAAGAAAGCAGTTTATGTCATTGTAAATGCTTGTTCTAGCAGAGATTACACTGACGAAATTGTTGGAGTCTGTTTTGTTGGCCACGATATAACTGGGCAGAAGGCAGTTATGGATAAGTTTACTCATATTCAAGGTGATTATAAAGCGATTGTTCACAGCCTCAACCCTCTGATTCCTCCCATCTTTGCTTCAGATGAAAACGCTTGCTGCTCAGAATGGAATGTTGCTATGGAGAGGCTTACAGGGTGGCTCAGAAGTGACATGATTGGAAAGCTACTGGTTGGAGAAGTTTTTGGCAATTGCTGCCGACTAAAGGGCCCAGATGCCCTTACAAAGTTCATGATTGTCATTCATAATGCAGTTGAAGGGAAGGAAACTGAGAAATCCCCTATTGTATTTTTCGATAGAAATGGAAAATATATTCAGGCACTCTTGACGGCAAATCCAAAAAGAGATATGGAAGGCAAGGTTACTGGAGCTTTTTGCTTCTTTCAGATAGCTAGTCCAGAACTGCAACAGGCCCTTGAAGTTCAGAGGCAGCAGGAAAAGAAGTGTTTTGCCAAAATGAGAGAACTGGCTTACATTTGTCAAGAGATAAGGAATCCCCTAAGTGGGATTCAATTCACAAACTCTCTTTTGCTGATGACAGAGTTATCTGATGATCAGAAGCAATTTCTTGAAACCAGTAATTCTTGTACAAGGCAGATGAAAAGAATTCTAAATGATGTCGATCTGGAAAGTATTGAGAATGGGTATGCTTAATCCACTTTAAGTTCATATTTTTTAATTTGGCTTTGTACATTTTCTTTACGTTTTAATTCTTATGTATCCTTATATGAAGAAGTCTGCATTGGTTAGTTTTTTTGTACATAGTTTGGATAGGCTACACGGTATTGAAGGACAATATTTCAATTCTGAAATTGATATATACATTATTTATTTGATTCATTTTTTTTCTTTAAGATAGACTTTTATATATAATGAGGATAGAGAGTTGTGCGATAAAGTGTGGTACGTTTGATTTACTAAATAATCAGGATACAGACTAGTGCCATTTGTGTTAAGGAATATATACAGTCTAAAAAACATGTAAGTGCTGAAAAATTTATTAGATGAACAATAAAATAAGAAGCATTAAGTGGTGTATCCGATACATTATCCAAGGGTGTCCAATTTTTTCAATAATGTGGCAAAGTGAAGCTTGGGTTGTGATTTTGCTTCGAAGGCGTCATATCCAAAGATTATGCAAAATTTCTTTGGTGACTTTGTAAGTATAGGAGGGACTAGAAATGAATGCTTCATGCCCTAAGTATTACAGGCGTCCTAAAACATTTGCTATGAAAGTTAAGATTCTTGGCATGTGTATCTTTCAGTATTTATTCTTTCTAGTCGCCAGTGACTTATATTGATCACCTTTATGGTTTTCTAGCATCATTCATATGATCAACTGCATGACAGGTGAATCCCACTTTCAGATACTTTTCCTTCCTCGTGATTGTATCAGATATGGATCAAGGTAGATTAGATTTATTAATAATGTGATGGCTTTGTATTGGACGGCATCTGTGAATTTCTCTTTTAGATTACAGTGCTAAAAACTTAAAATTTGCTAATTAAAAAAACTCCAACGTGCTATTTTTCATAGTTTGCTTTCTGATGTGGTGTTCTGAAAAAAAAAGGGGAACATTTAGATAATACCCTAGGAAAAAAGTGACAACATGGACAGTTTTCATTGTTGATACAGTATTCTTCTGAATTTTCGTTGGAGATCACGGTGAATACATATTATAGTCATGTTCATGAGTCTTCTGGCTGTTCTATCAGTATCTTGCAATTAGATGTAATATATGGTAGATGAAAGCCAGGGTTTAAATAGTTAGGTTTACATTTTATCAAAGGAGGCACAAACACTTCATCTTAAATTAAACTATTTTTCATAATTTGTCTTCTGATGTGGTGTTGTAAATGGGGCACATTTAGAGAATACCCTAGGAAAAAATGACAGCATGGACAGTTTTCATTTTTGATACAGTATTCTTCTGAATTTTCGTTGGAGATCATGGTGAATACATATTATAGCCATGTTCATGAGTCTTCTGGCTGTTCTATTAATATCTTGCAATTGGATGTAATATATGATAGATGAAAGCAAGAGTTTAAATAGTTAGGTTTACATTTTATCAAAGGAGGCGCAAACATTTCATCGTAAATTAAACTATTTTCCATCATGCTTGAACCCATTTTGATGGTAACTCATTTGAAGAGTGAGGTGGTGCTTGGTATTGGTGGGCAAAAGCCAATTTATGCTTAAATGATTGGGTAAATTTTTTGGGATTGGCCATAGGCCCATAACTTATACCTCATTTGTCATGATATGTAACTTTCTTTGAAGCTTGAATAATAGTCAGATTCATTTTTATGTAACGCCAACGCATTTACATAGATCGGTGACAAGATTACTAATAAAAGCATTGTATCAAGAATGAATATCATCTTCATCAACATTCACAATTTTCAGTGCACATTACTTGAACTAGCATTGGCTGACCTTTTCATCACCCCCCTCCTCCTTTTCCTCTCCTCCTTCATTTCAAAAGAGCATGGCCAAATAAAAAAATAAGCCAATTTTTCCTCATAGCCAACCACTAAAAGTAGGAATTTATGATATTGCAATCAATTGGAAACGCTCCTTTCCATAATTGTTATGGTGGACCCTCCAATCCATTATTCCATGCATTTTGTTTTTTCTTTCTCTCTTGTAGAGGCCATGTAATCTCTCTTTTGAAGAATAAATTGGAATAATAAGTTTTGTTTGCTTGGTTACAAAACTTGGTTGTCATATCCTTGGAGATCTTTGGTGAGTTGTCCATTTTCCTTATTTTTTACCATTCATCCTATTTCAACTTCTTAGCCTACCCTCAAAACCTAAATGCTCCCTTCCTTGATAACTCCTTAACAACTCTAGCATACCTCAACATCCGCCAGCCTTCTACACCAACATCAAACCATAATCCTAGTGCTCTTGGATTTCCACCTTTCTAGCAAACCATAAATAAATAACACTCCAAATCTCCTCTGATTTGGAGACCCTGTTGCCTGTTTATCCTCTATTGTTCAAGCCAATTAAGCACTATGCACGAGCCTCCTCTTTTACATGCCTTAACAAAACAATTTTCCCTCAGCAGATAACTCTTGGCCTCCAACCATTTCCTCTATAAACACAACAAAAGTTTTCCACAATCCCTCCATACGCCATTATAAAACAAGAGCGCGCCTACTTAGATGGAGACTCTCCCACCACCACCACATCAGTTCTTCTCCTTGATGCAATTTTTTTATGCTTTTCATGTCCTCCGTTGATGTACAAAACTTACAGAAATTTTTAGCTAGGAAAAAAAAAATCAAAGGACGTGTTTGATTTCATAATTGCTGTGTTGGCTGCTCTACACGAACTAATTATGTACCTCTTTCTTTCTAATTCCAGTTCATTGGAGCTTGACAAAAGTGAATTTATACTTGGAAATGTTATTAATGCTGTTGTGAGTCAAGTGATGGTTTTGTTGAGAGAACGAGGCTTACAATTGATTCGAGATATCCCTGAAGAGGTAAAAATAATTTCTGTTCATGGGGATGAACTTAGAATTCAACAAGCCTTGGCTCATTTTCTTTTGAGCATGGTGTGTTGTGCACCATCACCTGAAGGATGGGTGGAAATCCAGATCAACCTAACCCTAAAGCAGAATTCTGATGGAACTGATGCTGTGCATTTACAATTCAGGTGTGTGGCTCGACTTTAATCTTTCTTATGCAAGTTACTTCAGTTGTATGTTTAAAGGCTAGTGTTTGGTAGAGCTTTACCCCTGCCTTTGTTTAAGTAAATGGTTTTTTCTCTTGGGAAATGAACTTTGGAAATCCACACCTAACAAGTGCTCTCTCCTACAACTTCATGGGAATCTTCTCACGAAAGCTACTTAATTTGTTTTTTTTTTCACAGCACAACGGGAGCAAAACAAATTTAAAATGAAATAGAAAACAGGTTATTGATTATTAATATGTTTTTGATCCATAAATCCTCGCATTCTTGTGTGTTTGCATATTGTTGACAGTAAATGGAGAGAATCGGTAAACAGTTGATACAACGGAAAGATATCTGTATATATCTTCTACTAGAGAGTACATGGTACGTATATATAGACAGAATAGAAGGTTCTAGCTACAGGTATACTAACCAACTTATCTTGACAATTCAGATTTGTTGGTTATGGCCAAGACATTACTCTCTTTACTCTCCATCTGTCATAGTGGTGATATTATTTCCTGGCAAGGTGATAGGTCTAGGGAGAACCATTAGCTTGGATCGACGCAGGTTGAGCCATTGTTTAGGTATAGATTTAGTGAGAGCATCTGGAGATTGATCTTGGTGTTTACTCTCCTAATCGGATGGGATCCCTTATAAAATAGTAGTCTATCTTGATATATTTCGTACATGCATGAAACACTAGGTTGTTTCCTGTATTATTGTGGAGAGATTATCAAAATATAATTGTGGAGAGGTTATCAAAATATAATTTGGTTGGTTGAAATTTTAGAAAGCCAAAATCTTGACTTAGATAATGTAACCAAATGTCATCTGATATGCCTGCTGCAAGAGCGCAATATTTGGCTTCTGTAGAAGGTCGGACTACTATATGTTGTTTCTTGACAGTCCATGAGGTAGGTGTGGCACCCAGGAATGAGCAGAAACCTGTGGTGGATCGACAATTTTTTGAACAACAGCCCAATCTGAATCAAAATTAATGTGGAGTGTGAGGTTTTCTGGCGTAATCGTATTGTCGAAGTCGGTGTTACCTTGTTGGTATTGAAGTAATCATTTTAGAAGTTGATAATGGTGAGTTGAGAGAGTTTGCATGTGCTTGTGTTGTCATAAACGATTGACTGCAGAAGAGATGTTAGATCTACTTATTGTAACATATTGTGAACAACCTGTGAGTTGCCGACACTGTCTTGTATCTTTCTAGGTTATTTTTTTGTCGTTGGTAGGATTTTCAAGTAGTTGGTTTGGCATAGTTTGCATTTTCAGCTTGCTAGGAAACAGAGTGGACTGATTTGCATCCCAACATAGCTTCTGTGTGAAGAAGTTCCTAATGATACTCAGAAACCGAGGCATTTGGCCCATGTCTTTGATCGAAGGCTCCGTTTGAGGCCGCGTTTTTCGAACGTTGCGGCCCCAAAACAGAAAGTTAAAAAAATTTTCGCGTGCTTTCCTTCGGCGGCAGTGATCGATTGCCGCTAAAAAGGAAGAAAGTCGGTCGCGGGGTCGACCTCGTAGCCTGGCTTTCTCGAGCAGTAAAGGCTCGTTTGCCCCGCTTCAAATTCCCGCTCGAAAGAAACCCTAACCCAATTCGGGAAACCGCCGCTTCTTGCTCGATCGCCCCGCTCGATTGGTCCCGCTCCGAACGTTGCTCCCTTCGCGAAGACTCCCCCTTCTCCTCCCCTCTTCGGGATACCGCCAGCCCGCTTGATCGTCCCGCTCCGAAGCCCCTGCTCGTTGCTCCCTTTGCGAAGACTCCCCTTCTCCTCCTCCTGTTCGGGAAATAGCCGCTTCTTGCTCGATCGCCCCTCTCGATCGTCCCGCTCTGAAGCCCCTACTCGTTGCTCCCTTCACGAAGACTCCCCCTTCTCCTCCCCCTGCTAGGCCGACCGCTGCTCATCTTCCACCGTCGCTCGGGTGTTTTGTGCTGATCGAAGCAACTTGCCCCGTTCCGCCCCGCTCAAAACCGAAACCTGATTGAAGCAGGTATGTCTCCTCCCAATTTTTTATCCCATATTTTGTTGTTGTTCTTTTATTTAGACGATGTGCTCTGCAAAATGGATGAATAACAGCTACAATTAACATCAAAAGAAAATATTAGATATGTACTTGCATGAACTAGAACTTATGATTCTTACTCTAATTTCAAAATTTATCAAACTTGCATGATAGAGTGGTAGATATTTCTTTCTATAGTTCTTTGGTACTTATATGGATCCGCTAAAAATGACAAGTCTTTGGTTTATTTATTTATTTTATCTTTTTTTTATAATTTAAATGGTATTGGATTGCTAGCTTGATTGTGGTTTTATCCCATCTAACTTCTCCACAATATGTTTTATCCTTGATAACTCTTATTAGTTTCACAAACCTTTCGCGCCTGATTCCAGTTAAAATTTGCACTCATGGACATTTTTTATGTTTCTCCCAGTGATATGTTGCACAAAACTTAATTTTGCTATTTGAATAGCTTTTGTATAAAAACTAGTTTTTTTTTTTCTCTTTTGGCTGGAGCAGAGCTTCCCATTTATTGGATCATAAATTGCTTGGACTAACATTATAACCAATGTTTTTCGACAATTTGAGATATTCTATATTCTATTTTTGAAGTATAGTCTGACGGAGTGACCACCTCATTATTGTGCCAAGAGTGAACTTCAGTTCTAGAATATCGTGAAAACATGACATGGTTAATCAACCAAATAGTAATTGATATTTGCACAAGTTTGATTTGATTTTTTACTTTGTAATTGATTTTAATTTTGCGTTTCATGGCTTTGTTTTGATTTAGTCATAACATAAATAATAAATATAAAGAGGTTGCTACACCTGCATTGTGGGAAAAAGAAACAAAAATACTATTTTGCGATATTTGCCTTAAAGAGATTGAACGGGAAAATCGGCCTACGACCTTTTTTAAAAAAGAAGGGTGGCAAAATATTATCAGATGTTTCAAGGAATGTACAGGTAGGGAGTACGACAAGTTGCAAATGAAGAAATGAAGAACAAGTGAAACAAGTGAGACCAACTGAAGAAGGACTGGAAAATTTGGAAAGAATTGAAGAGGGGATCTATGAGTCTGGGTTGGGATCCAGTGAAACGAATAGTTGATGCATCTGATGAATGGTGGGCTGACAGACTTGCGGTGAGAATTTTTTATACATTTTGTAATTTTGTATCTTCATATGTTTATTATTAATTGGGTGTTTATCAATTTCCATGTAGGTGGTGTCAGCTGCAAAGAAGTTTAAGTTTTCTGGAATAGAGTCTGAATTTGAGGAGAAACTCGATCGCATGTTTGGAGGCGTGGTTGCAACAGGGGCCTATGCATGTAGCCCAAGCGAAATAGGGTTCACTGGCAATGTCGTGAATTTGGGAACCCCCGGAGATTCAGTTGATTTCATTGACGTCCCCAGCCCGGATCAGAACGAATATTAAACAATTTCCCGTTCCAAACGTCCAAAGGTTGTTGGTAAAAGAAAATTTGGTACTTCTTCCCTCAGAATCGAGCTATCCGAGGCAGTTTCTTGTTTCAAGGCAGAATGTCAGGCTTCTCATTCAAGCACTATCGAGGAGGCACTTGAAATCTTAAGCGCTACAACCGAAATTTATGCAGATGAAGATTTATATATATTCGCAGCAGAATTAATAGAGGACTCGATCCGTAGAGATATCTTTCTGAAGATGTCTGTCGCCCGCAGAGTCGTATTTATTCGGCGTTTTTATAATCGCTTGAACATTTGAGATGTTTTATATTTTCCATCGTTAGAACCTTTCTACTGCATTATCTTTTATGATCACTTGAACAGTTAAGTTATTTTATATTTTTTTATCACTAGAATATTTTTATTGCATTATTTGTTTTTTTCTTTCTAGAGTTGTACTTGTGGACTCTATTGTACCATTCTAATTATATGCAAAAATCTTTTTTTTATGTCTCAAACTCTCATGCACTTGTCACCCTATTTATATTTAGGGATAACGATCACCATGGATGCAAATAGAATAAGACAAATAGAGGATCACATGGATCCACGAAGAAGAAAGCGGAGAGGAATGTTTCTAACGGTAATATGTTTGATGCACGAGTACTACAACTCGTACATTGATCGATCGCCATGCATGACATCTTCATATATTGACGATAAATGGATTGGAGAGTTACTTGCGGGGCACCCAACAAGATTTTATAATATGTTTCGAATGAGAAAGACAATATTTATCGATCTCCTGGAATTACTCGTAGGAGCTCACGGTCTTCATGGATCTTCGAGGATCACTTCACGTGAGGTGCTCGCAATAACACTATTTATATTATCCCAAAATGAGTCACTGCGAGTAGCGATTGAGCGGTTTCAGTACTCATCCGAAACAATAAGCAGGTAATTCTCAATCGGTTTGAGCGCACTTGTTAGCCTGTCCTATCATGTCATTAGACCCATAAATTATAAGTTCGAGCAAACACCTGCTGAGATATACACCTGCTGAGATATCGAAGGATGCGCGATATATGTCATTCTTCAAGGTATTCTATCGAATGCAATATAGTTAATTTTGTTAGAGTTTTCAATGATATGTCGATACTAACATTAACTCAAATATGACTGCATCAGCGTGATTGATGGAACACATGTTGACGTACGTATCCCAAATAATGATATGGTTGCATTTATCGGCCGTTGTGGTAGCCTCACCCAAAATGTCATGGTCATTTGTGACTTCAATATGTGTTTCACTTTTGTTAAGGCTGGTTGGGAGGGTAGCGCACATGACAGTCGAGTTTTTAAATCTGCGACGCGGGATCCAAATACCAAATTTACATCCACCTACAGGTGCGCTCGGGATTGAGATCATTGAATTACCAACTTGAATCTTCATATTAATTGTTTGATTTATCAGGCAAATACTATTTGGTCGATGTTGGTTACCCATTGCAACGAGGGTATCTAAAGTCATTTCCTGATACG